CCCTAAACCCTAAACCCCCGTTTGTGTGTTGAGGGTCTGGAGCTCGAGGCCTCCATCGCTCTGGGGCTCGGCGGTGTCAGGTTTAGGGTTTAGGGTTTGGGGTATAGGGTTTAGGGTTTAGGGTTTGGGGTTTAGGGTTTGGGGTTTAGGGTTTAGGGTTTAGGGTTTAGGGTTTAGGGAGGGTTTCTGGCTGTTTTGAGGGTTGGGGTCATCGGGGTACTGCAAAGGCGCCGAAAAGGGCCTTCAAGGCTCTTGGAAGGGAGTTTAAACGCCATCTACAATTCACGGATGCGCCCGCGTTAAGGGACTATTCCAAATTATTCCTGTCTCTGTGGCGTCAAAAGCTTCCCTTGCAGCAGCGTAAAACACACATGCGCTCTCGTAGAGGGTTTAGTTTAGTCTCAGGGTCTTAGGCTTGTTTGGGGGGTTCTTGGGGCTTAAGCTTGGGGGTTTAGTCTTCAGAGCTTCGGGCTTTTGGCCTGTTAGTTAGTAGGTGTTTGGTTTCGTCTTTACTACTATGCGTCGCCTTGGCCGGGGCAGGCCTCTGAACAAATAAGGCCCTACAGCCCTGAACTGAAGGCCTAAACCCTATGCCAAAGTCCTAAAAACGATAAACCCCAAAAGCACAATAAACACCATAAACCCTGAAGACAGCCCTTATCCAAGCCCGCTTGACCCCGGCTTGATGCTGCCGACAGCACGTCGAAGATGCTTTCGAACGACTTCGGCACGTCCAAGACGATTTGCCCGTTGCTGGCAACTTGGAGGATGGGATGCCCATCAAACATACCTCGGCTTAGGGCTGACAGCGTTTAGGGCTTAGAAGGTTTAGAGCTTGAGGATTGCTGAGTTTAGTGTACAGGTATCGCAATGTTTGGGACTTGATTTGAGGATTTAGGGCTAGAAGTTTACGACTACAGGCCGTGCCATGTACGACTTTGGTTTAGGGTTCAGGGTTCAGGGTCCTAAACCCTAAACCCTAAACCCTAAACCTTAAACCCTAAACCCTAAAACCTAAACCCTAAACCCTAAACCCTAAACCCGACTCGAAGCGCAAAGCAGCCTTGGCCGATGGCTTTGGAGTTTCGGATTTCGGGGCTTCGGGAGTTTCTGCCGTCGGCCGATAGAGGCCTTGGAGGTGAGGAGCTAGGGTTTAGGGTTTTAGGGGGTCTGAGGAGTTGAGGAGCTAGGGTTTAGGGTTTAGGGGGTTTAGGGGTTTAGGGGGTCTGAGGAGTTGAGGAGCTAGGGTTTAGGGTCTTAGGGGGTTTAGGGGGTTTAGGGTTTAGGGGGTCTGAGGAGTTGAGGAGCTAGGGTTTAGGGTCTTAGGGGGTTGAGGGGGTTTAGGGTTTAGGGGGGTTGAGGGTTCAGGGTTTAGGGGGTTTAGGGCTTAGGGAGTTGAGGATTTAGGG